GTCTTTGCCTGTCTATATAAGACTATCTCCTTAAATGTGTACCAGTGAAAGAAAATTGTGTATGTATGTGTGAGAGAGAGACAAGTAGTGACATTAAGTTCCCTCTAGTGACTGTTACGGGAGAGCAAGCTGAGCTGTCTTTCACCTGGATTTATATCGCTGCCGGCAACACTCCTGGAGATCTCTTCTGAGGTTCCCTCTAGGAGGGTTTTCCAGACTGGGGCAGGTCATTGAAGCAGTAGATCTGATATTTATTTTTATTTACATACTACTTTTCCTGAGGAGCTGGGGGGACTCTGTGAACATTCTTGTGATAGTCCGAGAGGAGTTAAGCAAGTCTTGAGAGCTGAACAATAAAGTCTTGTTATTCTAAGCACTGTTTAAAACTATTATGATTTGTCTCTCAAAGAATTCTTGGCCTTGAGGCAAACGATGGACTACAAGTGGGAGCTTGAGCTATTAGCTCAGTTTCCCCTCACACCCAGAACGTGTGACCTGTGCTGAATCAGCTTGGAGGTCTCTTTACACTGGCCCCTGCTAATGGGCAGGGTGGTGGCTCTTCGCCACAGAGAGGCTGCCTCTTCCCGGAGGACATGGCCCGTGTCTGTTGGTCCCTGCTGTTTAAGTTGGATGAATGCTAATGTGCTGTCACAGCGTTCTGGAGGAGGCTGTATTGGTTCATGACATCTGATGTGAGTCTTGAACTTATTAAATTTATGTCGTTGGCTGCCTTCGCTCTGGTCACATCTTGGTCTAATGACTGAGAGATGGCAACTGTACACTTTTCTTGACTGAATTCTATTTGTCAAGAACAATTTTCACATTTTTGGATTTTTCTTTCATTAACGATTGTGCAGCAAAAATGAAAAAAAAAATTTAAAAATATCTTGGGAAGGTATCAACTTTACTGCCATCCCGTTTGCCATTCACTCTGCGTATCTGTGGTTTGTTTTAAGCCAGGTGCCAGTGCCTCTTCTTGGAGGTATAAATTCACACAGGGCCTGGCAGAAGCTGCAGACAGGATGTTGACTCTTGAGTGTCTCTGACTGATGGACTAGGAGGCCCCCTTGGAGGTGCTACATGGCTCCAGGCAATCTATGTTTCTAGCCAAGGTCTCTAAAACCCAAGGTTTTAAAGTGCTTGCTTAAGATTTCTGGGGCTGATTTACCTACAAGAATCTAAAAATTACATTTTTTTTTTCTTTCAGAGAGACCAAGCATGAAAGCTGCCCATTGGTTTTCCCCGTTAATTCCTGGCTGGCCTAACTTTTGCTCCTCAGATTTGTAATTTCTAATCAGCCAGGTGGGGCCCCTAGCAAGGGCCTTGTACCATTGGTTACTCCTGGGGTTGTCTCCTCACTGGTGAAGCAGGGCCTTAGACTAGTATGACCTCTAGCAACCTGTGAGTCCCCTGATCTCTGTGGGGTTTGGCAATCACCCTTGACCCATGGACACCTTCAGATCACCTCACTTATTCCTTGTGTATTGGTTTCTATATGCAAGACACCAGAGGTCCTTGAGTGTCGGCTTATACAAAGCATTCAAGGAATATCCTCTTCCTCATTCTTCCATGGCCTCTGGAGGAGACTTTAGTAAATTCCTGTTAGACTCTTAAAAAATGACTAGTATTGTTTTCAGCTTGTCATGTGAGGAATTTGAAGCTCAGAGCAGTGAGCCTTAGTTTTGTGCACTTAAATAAAACTTAGATTCTTTACACCAAGCCCTAGTTAGGAGGAAATGATTTTAAAGAAATGGGAATGGGAGAATGTATTTTCTAATCTATTCAATAATTACAGAGATCCAGTTAGAGATCTAAATGACAATCGTTAATTTTATTGTCCTTCACTACTGATTGTGAAAAGTTTGCCATGGGAACCTAAAGCTAATTATGAAGAGTTAAATGCTTCATGAAGAGACAAGAGGATCTGCCAGAAATACAGGTGTCTGTCTTAGAATTAGAATTAGATTGCTTTATAGCAGAATGCTTGTAAAACGCAATGCCTTCCGCTTCCAAGAAGATGTGAAGATTGTAAAAATCAGGATTAAGTCATATGAAACTGTCTCTGCTCTTTGAAAATGCAGACCATTCCATGCCAAAATGATATTCTTTTGGCAAAGAAATACAAGTTTTTAAAAACAATAGCTCCAAGAATCTTAAGTGCCTATAAAGTGACTACAGTAGCTGAGAGGTGAAACTGGAATCCTGGTTCAGAGCCTGCTTTCTTTGGATGTCTCAGTTTCCCCAAGTGGGCATAGTTTAGGTGACAGGGCATCTGTATGGCAGCTGCTGGTGCTACGAGTCAATGCCAGAGAAGACAAAATTGTTGGCAGACGACTTCTAGTTTCATTGTTGTGCCAAGGCCAGAAGAAGTAGAAGTTTATGTTCTTTTGAAGTGGGAAGATGTCATCTTCCTCCCACCCCCTTGGGCTTCACACACTTGTATACACAGAGCATCCTCAAGATGTTTATTAATCATGGTCTGACAACACAGAGCCTATGCTGATTTGTTTGTGCTACTGTAAAAAAAAAAAATTGAACTAGTAAAATTTGCCTGGTTTTGGGAACAGTATTTTATTGCATTCAAAAATTTCTAGGGTAATAATTATAGATAATTTGAAATGTCATATAAGCATTAAAAGCAGTGGGCAGCAAACTGTGTTTCTTTAAATAAAGGCTTCTTAGAACTCAGCCACACCCATTCATTTGCATATTGCTTTTAACAGGCTGCTCTCCAGTCACCAAAGCAGAATTGAATAGTTGCAACAGTGTCCTTTTGGCCTGAAGTGCTAAAATATTTATTATTTGGCCCTTTCTAGAAAAGGTTTGCTGACCTGTGAGTTAAAGCCTTGGAAGATGTTCCTGTTGGGGGCCATTTTGCAAGGTGCTTAAGTCTGTTTGACCTCTAGAATATCTGTTTCCCCACTTCAGATAACCCTTCTTGATCCCCAGAGTTATAATCACAGGGGAAGGAGAAAGTTTTTTGGAAAATTAGCAGAAAAGAATGGACGGACTCTTTCCTCTGGAGGAACCATTTTAAGAGTGCCAGCCTAGCCAATGGCTTCAACTCCCTCTGACTTTAGCCTTCTTTGATTATGTGGCAGTTGTCTTTGACTATTTGAAGGGCTGTCATGTGGAAGAGGTGTTAGCTTGTGAGACGGTGAGGAACTACATTAGAATGAATGGGTGCAATGTTACTTACTGTGAGAAAGTCTTTCAGCTCGAGGAAGAATCACACTTGCTAGGAGCCCCTGTACCCAAGAATGTGGTTTAGTGGGTAATGAACTCCCTGTCATGAGAGAGATTCAAATAAAGGTTGATGATCACTTGGTACATAGAACATGCACAGTGGATACAAGATGTTTGTGCCCGAAAAGTTCTGAGTCCAATCTTGAAATTCTAATGGCTTCTTTGGTTCAAGTTTTGTTTCCAGGCTCAGATTGTAACCACAGTTTAATTGGTTGTGGGTCTCTAGAGGGATCTTGGATGGTTTTCTGAAAATGAAATACTGGCCAAACCAGAGGAGTACCCAGAGGGAGAAACTTTTCTGGTGGGCAGAGATGGCGATGGAAAGGTTGGCCTGGAGCCAGTCTCCCCTTGGGCCACTATTGAACAGAGTGGCAGCAGGAAGGGTGCTATTTGTCACCAGACCTAAAGCCTCATGCCGACATCTTTGCTTTCTGCTTAGGTCCCAGGAAAGAGGAAGACCTATGCTGGGGGCATATCACACACATGGAAGTTGAAACAGGGCTTTTGTATTGCAGCCTTCTGGGGCTTAGATTGGGACCTGAGTGTGAAGGGCAGGTCTGGGTGAGGTCATTCAGTGTCTTGTGATGCTGCTGTGCTCCTGTAGTACAGAAGCAGTCATAGACAGTAATACAGAAATGAATGAGCGTGACCGTGTTCCAATAAAACTTTATTTACAAAAATAGACAGTGGACTCAGTTTGGCCCCCTAGACCAATAGCTTGCTGATTTCTGATAGTGACTTTGAACATCAGAGCTGGCTAAAAAATGTCAGATCTGATTAATTCCTTCATTTTTTGGAGAAAAGGGAAATGACATGTCCAAAGTCACACCAGGGTTGAGCCAAGATGACAAGCCAGAATGTAGTTTTAGTTGAGTGCCTATTTTGGGATGCTATGCTACCAAATGCTATGGTCAGGTTATAGCATTTGGTGTCGAAGAGAGGAACCTTGTGAAAGAAAGCAATACCTGCTTCAGGTACGTTGTGAATAACAGTTTTGAGAGCTGAAGGATGGTATTTTACCAGAGGCAACCTTCCATCCCTCAGACCTGTCCTAACTTTTTCTTAGATGGGTTCTGTTCACAGGAAAACAAAATATATGTTGCATAAATTCACAGGGAGAAATAACACCCCAGAGTTGTGAAAAAGCAATGGGCTCCCGCAGCTGCGTCACAGGATTTGATCACTTCAGCTGAGAGTGCCAGGAGATTTGAGACAGATGTTTTCAGACATGCCGCATGCCTAAAACATTTCCAGGGGTCGGACTGCAAAAAGTGACTTAATAAGTGGAGAAACAGGGAAAGTATGCAAGTTGAGGATACAAGAGTTTATTCACCACTAGGTGCGTGGCCAACCTCTTTGCATTACATCTGCCTGTCAGGGTTGGCTCTTTAATCTCTCGTGCCCTCGGTATTGCTCTTTGTCTGCCCATGAATAAAGTGCAGCATTGTGGTTAGTAATCCCACTCCAGTGACTCGACTTCAAATGTGGTTTTGGAGTGCATCCCAGAGTTCTGTTTGCTAAGCTCCCTACTCCTGTTTCAGAGACACCACTGGATACAGAGCAGCGAACACTGAAGGCTTCCCTCTTCCTTAAACCTGTCGGGTTGTGGGCTCTCTCTTTCCCCCTCTTGCTGCTCCGTTCTTTTCTTTTCTTTTTTTTTTTCCCCTCATTTTTTTTTTAAGCTTTCCAAGGCAAGTTCATGGATACTAAGCTGATGTGTTTGTTGTTCTTTTTCTCCCTGCCTCCGCTCCTAGTGAGTAACCACACTGGCCGCATCAAGGTGGTCTTTACTCCGAGCATCTGTAAAGTGACCTGCACCAAGGGCAGCTGTCAGAACAGCTGCGAGAAGGGGAACACCACCACTCTCATTAGTGAGAATGGCCATGCTGCCGACACCCTGACGGCCACGAACTTCCGAGTGGGTGAGTTCCTCCACGGTCCCTGACTGTCCTTCCCGAACAGAGTTTTATGAGATTGTAGCACTTAGACACCCTTGCGTTCACACTGCCTGCCCGAACGTGTTTCTGTCTACGAGTACAAATAAGCTTCTTTCACTAGGTCTGTTGAATTACTTTCGGAATAATTGCTAACCTGACTTTTGGTTTCTTAGAGAGATGGCAACTAGGATATTTCCCCTTACTGCTTAGCTTTTCCCCAGCCATGTGGTGATGGGGATCTATAGAGGAGGACAGAAGGGCATAGGCTTTAGACTGAGACCCCCAATGCACAACTTGCAACTGCTCAGCTGCAAATTTTATCAGCTCCTTGCTAAACAGAATGGGCATTAAATTTGACGAATGCACAATTTGGAAGGTGGTGATGAAATTTAGAATTTCACTTTATAAGTAACCAGCCTCTTTTAAAAAAAAACTTTATAAAAATTGTCAAAAACCTGTGCTTTGGTTGTAGAAAAAGGGATACAGGCTGGCATCCTTTGCCACGTTTCAGCTTTATATCACGAGACTGAATTATAAATTGATAAATTGATGGATCTGGGGGAAGAGATATTAGTGGATTATGGCCAGCACTCAACAACAGTAAATTAATTTAAATATGAACTGGTAGTGACCGACTGCAACAGAAGCTTTTTGCGTCTTTGTAAATTTTTGTTTTTTACTTTTTCGTAAATGGAGAAGGTACTGCGGTCTACTGAAAGCTGTCATAGTGCCATGTTGTCATGCAATACAGTATTTTTGTCACAGAAAAAAAATCTTTTATTATTTTTTGACCAATTATGGTTTGCCATGTGTACTCAAATAATCACAGACACCCACGTTACTTTACGAGTTACTCACAAGAATAACCCAAATGTCAGACAGATAATAACACTGGCTAGATCTAGTCTTTTTATGGAATATTGCTGTTTAGTCTTGGGACTGTTTGTCTTGGGAGGGGGGATTGAAGAAAAGGGGGTGTCTATTTCAAACTGATTTCCATCAAGACAAAATACAAAGGGCAGCTCCAAGTTCTTATGAGCTCTTTTGATTATTCTTCTGCTGTATTGCGAATCCTAATCCTTAGGAGGCGGAAGCAATATTCTCGTTCCGTTCGTCTGTACTTGGAAAAAGCATGTGCCCCTGGGTACGATTTAAGAAGGGTATTGTGACTTTCCTGGCTATGATAGGCGTACTTTGGACATATTTTAAGAAGAATTTAGCCGTTAGATGCCAAATGGTATATTATGCTTAGCAGGGCAGGGAGCCGAGTCTAATGGGAAGTGTTGAACTGACGATCAGGAAACGGGGCTCTGGTCCTGGTCCTGCTGCTCACAGCTCACCCACAGGGCATGCCAGTTGATATTTCTGGGCCTTGGGTTTTCTCATCCATAAAATTATTTAGTGACCTCTAAAATTCAGTCTGCCTCTGAAAGCTTATAGCTTTTTATAAGCAATAAGTAATAATAAGTAATAATGCCTTTTTTGAGGGGGAGGGTTATAGACTAGGAGAGGAAGGGATAAGGTAATTCCTAATTGGCTATTCTGAGCTTAGTGGCTACCCCCCTTTTCTCGGTTGCCTTTCTCACTCACTCACTGCTTCCTCTCATCCACCACCGCCAACTGTGTCTGCTTTTTCTTGTCTTTATGGTGTGTCTTTACAGTAGCAGCGACAGAGCAGTCCAATGGGTGGTAATTTTTTGGCTTACAGTGTATTCATTCTGAAACTAAATATTTGAAGGCTTTGAGAAACAGAGGAAGTCTGCTTGTTAAAACACGGTGCACACTTTCCTCTCTGGCATCCAACCAGATGTTTAGGAGCAGAATACACACAGCCTATTCAAAACACAAAGTGGAGCAAAATTATTCACAAAAAGCATTTTCAAAATCAGATCTCAGCCTTCCACAAAAGGATTGGCGGAGCAGTTTGGTTTTTTTAAGAAATGTTTTATTACAACTTTAAAAGTTAACTTAAAAAAAAAAAACCCCGTTTACAATATGTCGTTTCACAATGGGAATCCTGGGAAGCATTTCATTCATATCCTGAACTATTTTCCTCTCCTGTTTATATTTTTGTTCAAATATTAGATAGTTGGAGGGACAAGTTTTGTGATTTTTATTTACTGTAGAATGATAATTTTGTCAAAGTTACAGGTTGTGATTATTCAAAGATTCAGAAAAACTTCATTTGTAAGATCATTTTTGGATTAGTTTAGTATGATTTTTCTCTTTACAAAGGGTAGTTTTCTAACTTGTTTTTCTTATATATTTGTTTATGTTACATCTTTTGATAAATAAGATATGTGCAAAGAAGTATAGTTGGAGGCAGATTCAAATTATTATAATTTGTTAGCAGCTTTCTTTGGCCGTTGATGTTTAAGGGTTCTAAGGGGTAGTGGCTGGCAAACTTTCTGTACAGGGCCAGTTAGAATACAGTTTAGACTTCGTGGGTCCTGCAGTCTCCGTTGTAACTGCTCACCCTGCCATTGTAGGGAGAAAGCAGCCAGAGACAATAAGCACAAGAACGGGCAGAGCTGTGCTGCCAGAACAGTCGGTGGGCCAGCGTTGGCTGAGTTCTGTCCTTTGCTGACCCCTGCACCAAGGAGTCCAAATAATGCAAGGAAAATCACATGGACTCCTTAGTTAAGGCACCTTAGTTAAGTAATTCATTTTGATAATCAGAACAACAGAAATGATTTTGAACATTTGCAGCGTAAATTACATGTTTTAGTTTTGAGAGGGGAGGTGGAATGGATCTTATCGTCACCCATTTTTTCAATATGGAAACTAAGGCACAGAAGTTTAAGTGTGCTGGCCTTAGTTGCACAGAGGCACTTAGCTAAGACTAGAGCTTAGGGCTTATGGCATCTTTACTTTTCTGCCTGGAGTCTAACCACAGTGTGTGGGAGGGACATGTTAAAGAGGCTTGTGGAACTGGGTCTTGTTGGAAGGCTGGACGGTGTAAGAGAGAGAAAGCAACTGAATCCAGTGGATGTGGGTTCAAATCCTGAATTCATGATGGCCATTGGGTCAGCTCTGTTCTGGGCCTAGGCTCATGCTATTCAGGCACTAATAGATGTGCAGAGGGTTGTTCTCATTGGCAGAGCCCTCTTTCGCCCATGCTGCTTCTGGGACATCTTCTGCCCCGTAGTGACTGTGCCTGGGCTATCTAGATGGGAGAGGCAGCAGGTTCTTCTCTCATGATCCTGAAGTCTAATGGTCTCTGTTTCTGAGTATTCAGTGGGAGAAACAATAAGTAGAATCCCCACTTAGTGAGACTCTAAAAGGGAGGCCTCAGTGAAGGTGTTTTCCAAGAGAAGTACTCTTCTATAGTTAACACTCTTTCATGAAAGGTGATATTGAGATATTGGTATTATGTACAGAACAGTTACGTTAAATGATATTTCCCAAAAAGCAGACTTCTATTTATTATGATTTTTTCCCCCTCCGGCAGTCTGAGCTTGTGTTCTCCCTGTTCTCCTCCTTCCTGACTTTTTAAGAAATGGAAACATTTCCCCAGTTGGGTGGGCCAGCAGGTTCACCAATATTGTTTTAATGGATTCTTCACATTTCATAGGGATGTAATAAAGATGACCTTCTGGGATTTTTAAGTTGTTGATGAAGTCTAGGTTTCCTCTCACAAGAAGAACATAAGAATTCATGTTGTCACAACTAGAGTATTTTAAAGATAATCACACAGTCACTCCGCAAAACTCTTTTTGTAGAGACATAGAAAAACAGTCATGACTTCTGAAATAACACATTTGGTTCATAAGATGCTACTTTCTCTGAGGAATTACCAAGGACTCCAGTTCCACGAGCACCAATTGAATAATTATAAAAACGTATTTGATAGTTTAAAAATTATGTTCCTATGTGTTATTTTATTTGATGAGAGAGGTCAGTGGTAGTATCCATAATTTGCAAATATGAGAACTGAGGCTTTTGTGGCTTGATTAAAGATAACTTTAGGGCTGGGAATGTAGCTCAGTGGTAAAATTCTTGCCTAGCATGCGTAAGGCCCTTTACTGTTTAAGAGGACTTAAGTCAGTTTTCTTATTCTAGTGTTCTGGTGTCTTTGGCTGTCCCACATTACCCCCATGACCATATATTAAGTGATTATATAAAAACATGGTTTAAGATTTTTCATGATAGCCAAGTCATAAATCTGCCTGGAAAGGGCTTCTGTTTTGAGGAGGAGATAAAGAGTATATGTAAATAGCCCTAAGTCAAGGAAGAAAGCTCCTACCAGGAGCCTGGCAGGGTGGTAACAGTTCCTCCTAGAGAGGATACTTTGAGAGGAGATGAAAGAGATAGCATGCAGTGCTTCTGTTAGTCCACCATGCTGTCCCACCCCCTGAGCCGTCCCACCTCCTGAGCACATCATGGTGAGTGAATGCTGTGGCCCAGCCATCGACTACTGAGGACAACTGGAAATATCAGAAAGCCTGAAGTAAAGGTGGATGAGGGATGGGGAAAAAGAGGCGAAGTTGATATGGGAAGGAAGGATTAACCCATTAGAACTGGGCATGGAAAGAGGAAGGTGCAGGTGGTTTGGGGGAATTGAGAGCTGTTATACTTCATAGTAGATGACGGGTCTGGGAGGGTACCTGGGATTTTAAGCTTGGACTCCACTCTTTTGGTACTTAGTAATAAAGTTCCTTGAAAAGGAGACATCGATATGGGTTATTTTGAAAAAGGTGAGGTGCCCTCTTGGTGTTTCAGTGGGGAACCAGTTTCCAGACGCTGTTTCTGAGTGCCTGTTCTAGCCTCCTTCAGCTCTCCTGAGGCTTGTCTGGTGCCCTGCACTGGAAATCTCAGCGATTGAACAAAACCGATTGCTACCGAAATGCTTGAGGAGCACAAGCAGTTCACGTCGTTAAACTCATTCTGTTGGTTATCTTCACAAGGGGGAAGAAAACTTCCTCTAAGCGAGGCCTTCGATAAACTGATGTGACAGTTGGAGGTCGGGGAGCATTTAGATTTTT